ACAGGCAGGGCGAGGGGCGCAGACCCAGGCACCCTCGGGACTGCCCCTGCCCCCCGGCCGCCCCTCCCTGCCCAGCCCATCGCCGCCCCGGCAGCCCCGGCCGTGCCGAAGGGTCTTGCGAAAAGCCTGGGAGAAAGCCCTGGGCTCTCCGGGAGAGCAGCGGGACGCGCTGGGAGGCCAAAGTGGCAAGAGTGGAGGGGGTGCCCGCCTCCGGGGACGTGGGGAGGATGGCATTGGACCCCAGGCCACATTGCGGTGCAGGGTACGAATGCACCGCCGGTCCCGGGAGCAGGGCGTGCTGCCACGAGCGAGTCCCACGCCTCCCCATGCACAGCTGCATATGGCCCAGGGGACGTGTCCTCCAGCTGTGCCACTGCCCCGGCACCTTTTGCCCTTGGTTTCCCCTCACCAGTGTCAGCTTTGCTCCCCACTGCATCCCTGGCGTAGTCTCTGCTCCGTCCTTCCCATCGCTCTGCAATGCAACACTGATTGATGGCAATTGCCAAGAGGATCCCGGGATTACAGGGGGGATTTGGGGAATGTGGCAGGACCCCATGCGGGTAGGAAAAGGTCAGAGACATGCAGAGACCGGACCAGCTTGGTCAGCCCAAGGCACCTCCAACTCCATGCCATGGGAAGGCGTCGGGCTTTCCTGGTTGCTCTGGCACGTTGTGGCCAGCAGCAACATCATGAAATGCCCAAGTGCGTCACCCGCTCCATCACACCATGCAGACCCCCATGTGTGCCCCTCCTGGGGCCAGCCCAGCCCGGGCTCCCCGGCCAGCACCCGCAGTGATGGCTGGGCAACACCGTGACCTCCTGAGGCCTCCTGCTCAGTAAATAGTGTCAAGGTTAGAGCGAGGGATTCATTGGGGCCATAAATGTTTATGGCAGGCCCTCCCCGCTCCCCAGCCGCCACGGCCTGAACTTTCCATCAGCGACACTTTTATGGCTGGCCTCTAATGATTAACCCGGGGGCTAGCGGCTGAAAGTGCTTTGCAGCACATTCGTGCTGCTGGAGCCCCACATGCCTGGAGAAGCTGGGGCTGGGGGACCCCCATCATCCCCAGAGGCTGCAGCCACGGTGGGGTATGGCGAGGAAGACGTGGAAAGCCATCGGTGGTCCTGCGGGGAAAAGGAAGGGCAGAGCCAGTCGGGGAGGGAGGTCAGCATCCCCGAGCATGAGGAGGCAAACAGGCAGGAGGAGAAGGTGTCAGAGCTGGCCCCATGCTCTCGGAAGGCGAAGGCAATAATTAAATCTCCTCCACCGCAGGGAAAGGTCGTTAAGGAAAACCTTAGCCTCATGCCAGGATTCACCCTGGAGGCTCAGCCCATGGTGCTGGACCCAGGGCTGCGTGGCCCATGGGGTTAATAGCCCAGTGCACCAGGGCCACATGCATAATCCAGACATAAACCCTAATTTTTCTGTTTATCCTGGGTTTTTGGCTTTAACCTGACCAGGACAGAGATTTGCAGGACAAAGCCCAGGGGGAGTGTGCTCCCCATCCCTCAAAGCCCCCCTAGATGTGCCCTTCTTGCATGTTGAGGACCCCCTCCCCAAATAACCAACGCAGAGGTTGTGTCACACATCGCTTTTTAATGATGAGCCGACGGTACACGGGAGAAGGCGCACACGACACCGGGGTGCTGGGGACTGGCAGCGGTGGGAAAACTGTCCAGGAGCTCACCCACCAGCACCCCTCAGGCCAGCAGCATCGGCAGCAGATGGGGTCTCTGGGACATGGGCCCCGGGCTGAGCTACCCCAAAATCACACGCAGGCACTGAAACCCAGCCCTTCACTTTTCCCTTGGAAAAGCAGCACCCAGGGCTAGGGACAGCCCTCAGAATCCCCTCGGGGATGGACACAGGTCCTCCTTTGGCACTGGGTCCAGCTGAGACCTGTCCCTGACCTCCTGCACACATGGGGAACAGGTCACCCAGCCTCTTCCCTTCCTTCAGCTCACCCCAGCCCTGCCAGTCACCACGGGGAAGAGCTGCCCTGACCCACCGAGGTCCCTGGGGGATCTACAAGCTTGGAAAGGCCCAAGCTGGTTTGTTTATAAAGCTTTTTTTTTTCCTTCTAATTGTTTTTAACTGTTCATTTATTGGGTCAGACTTCTTTAGCAGGACACTGATTTGCGCTGGTTTTGCTGGAGTACCTCCGTGTGAGCAGAGCGCACCGGCACACACTGTCCTCAGGGCATGGAGGATATTACAGTCCTTTCTCGCACGTGTTTGTGGGTTTTTGGAGTTAAATACACACAAGCAGAGAACAGACCAACGCAGAGGACCTCCTCCTCCTCCCCACCTCCTGCAGCCTGAACATCCCTGCAGCCCGAGCATCCCTGCGGCCCGAGCATCCCTGAGCAGGGAGGGCAGGGCTGGGGCTGAGGGTGGGAGCGGGGCAGCCCGGACACTTGAACCAGACACCGTCACACGAATGCACGAACTCGTCACACAGCTTGCCACACTGAACAGAAACACCACGGGGGCACCGGGGCGAGCAGCAGCTCTGTCCTGGTGGGGCCAGGGTGGTGGTGAGGAGACCGGCAGAGTCAGCAGCTCCCAAAAGACCCCCCCAAGCCGTCCTGAAGTGCCGCAGTGCAACCTGTGCAAATTGGGGGGATGAGCCCCCCTCAGCCCATGGGGCGCTGGGTCCCCTCACATCATGGACTCCTCCTCCTCCTCCATCTCTCGGTCCACCTCGATGGCCGTGTTCTCGTAGCTGGTGATGCCCCCGTATTTCCGCATGTGGACCATCAGCGGCTTGGGGGACTGGCTGCCAGCCAGGCTCGCCACGTACATGCCGGTCCGGTTCTCCTCCAGCGATGGGCCCCAGTCCATGGCGGGCTGGCTGGCTTGCTGGACTCGCTGCGAGGAGACAGGCGGAGGGAGCACAGGCACCCTGCACCGGCACCCCCTCCGCTCCCCGGCCGGCACCCCCACCCAGCAGCTCACCCACTCCTCCTGGGGGACGGTGTGCTCTGCAAGCCCCGTGGGAGTGGAAGAGCCCCCAGTGAGGATGGGATGGGACCAAAAGATTGTCCTGAAGCTTTTTGGGAAGGCAGCTCTGTACAAGTGCCCTGCTGTGGGCTGGGGAGGTATTATGGTCTGTGGGTGCTGGTGGTGAGGGCTTGCAGGAGCCAGGGGCTATTGTAGGGCTATGGCCCTGTGGTGTGGGGTTAGAGTCACCCAGGCAAGGGGTTAGCCTCCGCCAAGGTGGTTCCTGGCCATGCCACTGTGCCCACGGCTGTGCCAGGCCAGGTTGCAGCCAGTAAGTGCTCCAGCCGGCGAGTTGCTGCCTGGGGAGGGCAGCAAGCTCTGCTGCCTCCGCTTTTAACAGCCTGGGGAGAGCAGCAAAGCCCAGCCGGGGCTGGGAAGGCTGTGAGCAGCCAGCAGCTCCATAACCTGCTCCTAGGCGAAACCTATCAGCGGAGGAATCCCATCTGTGCTGCCTGTGGCTGCCTGCACGGGTCCGGCAGCTGCCTTCCTTGCTCTGTCATTGCTCCTGCAAAATGGGTGCAAAGTCCCATGTGCCCATGCCCACCCCAAGCCAGGACAATGTACTTCCCCACAGGGCAAGGTGTAGCAGGCTTGTTTGGCAGGGGGCGGGGGGGGGAGGGGGCGAGGATGCGTACAGGGCTGCCCCTTGGGAAGCAGCATGCCTCACTCAGTGCCTGCCTGACATCATGGGAGGGGACACTGCTGGAAATGCCCTAGGACACGCCGTCTCTCACACCCCATGGGCAGCAAGGAGGGATGGGGACACACACTTCCAGGAGAAAGGATGCAGAAATTGTGGAAGAATACAGGCTCAGCAGGGGTTCGTGGTCACCCCTGCACATTTCTGGGGTGTTCCCCAGCAATGCCGGGCTCCAACACCTCCTACCTCCCACAGCGTCCCTTCTTCTTGGAGCACAGCTATCACCATGCCCACGGGAATCATCAGGCAGGAGAGGACTCCCATGAGGATGCCCAAGACCTCAGCCCAGGCGGGAAAGCGGTAGCTGCCGTACTCGGAGGGCTGGTACTTGATGATGTTGTAGGCCAGCAGAGCCTGCAGGATGGAAAGAAAGCGAGGTCAGCCCAGAGCCCTCTGAAGGTCTCATGCTCAAAAAAGTCCTGGAGACCTCCCAGCAGAACCAGAATGGTCCCTGGGACAGGTGACGCCAGCAGAGTGACTTCTTACAAGGGGAGGTCATGCAGGGATGCTGGCACCACTGCAGCTCTCCAGCACCATCCAGCACCTCAAGCTGAGCAATTACCATCATTGTTGCTGGGGACAGGACCATCCAGCAGGCTCTGAAGTAGGGCCCTGGTTTGAAGCCCAGCATCATGTGGATATCTCGGCAGAACCTCTTCATGCCTGGAGGAGAGAGAGGGAGAGGGACTCAGAAGCCATGATCCCTCCCTCAGAGCCAGGTGCCTGTACCAGGTTGCCCTGCACTGACCAAAAGCGGTGGTTTGCATCCTCTACAGCAAAGAAGTGTCTCCCCTCCCAGCTGGGAGATGCAAGAAGGGGGGCCCAGCTGGTGCTGTCTGAGGGACCATGCTCAGCACCCCAAGTATCTCTGGAGAGGTGAATCCAATGATGGCCAAGAAGAAACAAGAGGTTGGAGCAGAGGTATTTCATGTTCCATCGCGAGGCTGCTGGCTCCCCTACCGCTCCCTCTAAATCCCTCTCTTGATACAGACAGCCCACTCCTCCCTGTGCCCCTGTGGGGACAGACCCCCTTACCATAGACACGTGTCACCACGAGGCAGGTAGTGATCACCACCACCATGACACCAAAGCCAGCGCTGTAGTCATCCAGTAGGACCAGCCAGTACATCCCACCCTGTGGAGGCAAAGCACAGTGACCAGCATCCCCGGGACCAGCATCCCAATAAACCCCCACCCACATCCTCCCACTTTTGGGGACACGTCCCCTTAGGCCCTTTGGGGGCACTGGGGAAGACAGCAGTCAGGCACCCTCAGGAGACATCACTCTCCTTCTGGGGTTGTTGCAGGGACAGGAATAATGCTGTGTCGTTCCCCTTGGACCACATATCCCCAGGAAGCCCAGGCTCATCAATCGTCTCTCTCTTCCACCTTGTTAGCTGATGTGAATACATGTGTCTCTGCAAACTCGGCCCCTGCCCTAAGCTCTCCCTAAAATGAGTCCCTAGCTGGTCCCCACGATGCATCCAGCCCCACACCCTTACCTCTGTTGTGAGGATGAGACCCATCAGGAAGAGAACAATGCAGATGACAGCTGAGAACGAAGCTTTCTTTGGCCGCAGGTAGTAGGGAAATTCATCTGTCACTGCCGTAACGATGGTCTCCATAAAGGCAAACTGCACCCAAAGGAGAAAAGGGTCCCCTGAGCCCCCCGGGCTGCCTGGGCACCATGGCTGGCTTGGTGGGCTCTGTCCTTACCTGGCTGTCCAGGCCCAAGGTTAACAGCATGAAGAAGAACAGGAAAGACCAGAATGGAGAAAGGGGGAGCATTGTCATGGCCTGGGGGTACACCACAAAAGCCAGGCCAGGACCTAGGGGAGGCAAAGGACATCAGAGTGAAAAGGGGGTGACAGCGCTGGGCACGGGGGGATGGAGGAGAGGAGAGGAGAGGAGAGGAGAGGAGAGGAGAGGAGAGGAGAGGAGAGGAGAGGAGAGGAGAGGAGAGGAGAGGAGAGGAGAGGAGAGGAGAGGAGAGGAGAGGAGAGGAGAGGAGAGGAGAGGAGAGGAGAGGAGAGGAGAGGAGAGGAGAGGAGAGGAGAGGAGCACCACAGCAGGGACCTGCCGGCGCTCTTGCAAGATGGGCAGGAGATGTCCTGCAGCAGAGGGTGCAGAGGTGCAGAAGAACCAGCCTGCTCCTTGCTCAGGCCTTTATTAGACATCACTTGGTGCTGCTCAAGGTTTGCATGTCAGGAACTGGTTTCCTCTCTTCCCTCCCCTCGGCCAGCTGAGCATACAGCTCCAGCCCTCATGCTGACACCCTCAGATGCCTTCCATCCTGGAAGGGATGCTCCTCAGTGCTCCCAGGCAGAGGGTGAAGGAGAAAGGGTCTTCATTTGGCCTCACCTGCTTTTGCCACCTGGTTAACAGGGACCCCAAGCTCCTGGGACATGTATCCCAAAACAGAGAAGATGGCAAACCCTGCCAGGATGCTGGTGATGGCATTGCCCAGGGTCACTATGAACGTGTCTCTGTAGAGGAGAAAGAAGATGCTCTGAAGATGCCCACTCCTTCCCAACCCACACCAGTGCATGGTGGCATTGCCAGCCCCAGGTGCCACAGTAAGGTGACCCAGTGTGATTCTCCTCCAGGGCCTCTCTTGGCATGTGTTTTCCAGGGTCAAAAGGAGCATATATCTAATGACATGGGTCATTTTGTGGGGTTCCTCCCAAGCTTGTTTTCCCCAGTGGAGGGGATCAGCCCAAATGTCCAACAGCCAGATTCTCCTCTCTGCTGGTGACCTGCAATGGATGCTGGGGACAGGACAAACATGCATAACTAGCCTCAAATATCCTCAGCCTTCAGCACCTGCAGCCCAAAACTTCTGAGCCAGGCACTGTGTCTTGACACTTAGGAGAATCTTCCAGAGATCCCTCTGTCCCTCTTGAGCCTGTGCAAGCTGCCAGGTATCTGTAAGGTGCTTAGGCAAGGAGCAGTGCTGGGTGACTGTGCGCTGCACCGCGTGCTTCTGCTGACTTTGAACTCACCGGCTGAGGTTTTCATGGCTCCCCTCAACCCACAATTTTTAAGAGACAGCAGCTGGCTCCCACCTGTAGATATTCTGATGGAAGGTGTTGTACGAGGCGAAGGTGAGGAGGCCCCCAAAGCCTACCCCAAGGGAGTAGAAAATCTGCAAGGCTGCCTCGATCCACACCTGGGGGAAGGAAACAGGCCTGAGGAGAGCAGGGGTTTGGACACCCCACCCCCCCCACCCCCCCCGAGGAAAAGGGAGTTGGAAATATGCTTCCCCAGAGCCCCCAGCACATCTTCCCCAGCCCTCCAGACACGCAAAGCCCGCGAGGTCTTTGCCTTTCCTCGCTAACACGCTCACCACTCGTAGTGGCACAGCTGGATAGCGGAAGGGTTGACAAGGGCGTTTTAGAGCCGAGCTGGCCTGCTGAGCCAAGGAAACTCCCCACTCTGCATGCCAAGAAAAACAGAACAGCCAAATCCACCACAGGCACCCATCGCCACCTCCCAGCCCATCACAGGGGCTGGACTAATCCTGCCCATGGTCCTGGTACCCAGGGGAGGTGATGAACACGCCTTCCCCTGCATGGACAGCCAGAAACGCAGGCATGGGGCTGGACCAGGTGGGAAGAGCAGTATAGACAAGGTGTGGAGCAAAGGCAGATTGCTGAAAGGCAAATGTTTTTGGTCTGGGAGCAACCAAGAGAGAGGACTTCGGGCCGGGGGGTGGCCAGAAAAAGCACCTGAGTAAGGGAACCAGCTCTGTTGTATGCTGGAGGTGGCAGGAGAAGGTTCATTTTTGTGTCTTGAACAAATTGCACAAGATCCTGCTCACCTTGGAAGACAGCAAGTGATCAAACTGGGGCGTGAGGTAAAACCGGATCCCCTTCCAGGCCCCCTCCAGGGTCACACCACGAATGAGCAGCATCACCAGGATGAGGTACGGGAAGGTGGCGGTGAAGTACACGACCTGCGGGAGAGCAGAACCAGCTGGGAGAGCCGGGAGCGAGACCACAGCACGAGCGCTCCCCTCCAGCCCTGTCCCCGGGGTGGGACACCGCATCACCCTGCGGTGCTGGGGTCCTTGGGATGCAGCAGGGCCAGTGGTGTCAGCCCTGCTGGTGTCTGGGTGTGCAAGCCATCCCCGAAGTGGCCTGTGTCCAGCTGATGCTGTTTATGGGTCTCACTTTCCCAGATGTGCAGAGAATCGCAGGCACTGGTGAGCATCGCTGTAGATCCCCCCGAAAGAGACTGTCCAGCCCTTACCTTGCCAGAGGATTTGACTCCCTTTAGGATGCACAGATAGACGATAGTCCAAGAAAGGAGCAGACACAGACACAAGTTCCAGCGTATCCTCCCGGGATCCCCGATCCCAGAGCTCCCTTGGATGTGCAGGACGTACCGGCTAGGGTGAAAGGAGAACCGCAAGTGAGCAGCCGCAGGCGCCCCCCGCCATCTTCCCGAGACTCTCTCTGAACCTAGCAATGCCTCTGCTGCCAAAAATAACCTTGTCAAAAATCTCAGCAACGAGACAAGAGCAACAAGGTGCTGGCAGCTATCTGCCGGGGAAGGGGAGCAGTCGGTGTGATTTCTCCACCAAGCGTTAAAGAGCCCAGAGGGAATGCCTGGCGGCTTGAGAGCAAATTCCCAGCCGGTCCAGGCATGGGATGCATTCTATTCTAACCTATCTCCAGGCCAAGAAAGCAGCGCTAGATCGTGGACACCTTCCACATCCCAGGGACATGATCCCAATGGCTAAACTGAGATATCACCTGCAGCTGACCCCAAGAGCCCATCACTGCACCCACAGCACCCACCATGGGTGTCCACCATGCCATGAGATGTGCAGCACACACCTTCACCCCTCATCCCATCCCCACGCTCTCCCCAGTTGGATGCCAACCATGTCCCCACGGCCAGGTCAGGCTGACCTCTTTACCTCCAGTACTCCTCACTGGGGCTGACGGTGTTGGTGATGTTGACGGGGAAGGTGGTGTTCCCCACCTTGATGACATGGTGGTCCAGGCACAGGTCGGTGTTCCACCAGTTGCCGCAGTGCTGCCAGGGCAAGTCGCTTGTGAGGGATGCAAAGAGGTAGAAGAGAACGTAAGCAATGATCATATTGTAGTAAATGGCCACCAGGGAGACGATGAGGATCGTGCCCATGCCAACGCCTGGAGAAAGGAGAGGGTAAAGAAGGAGTGAGCCATCTCTCTGGAGCGGAGCACTTCCAAAACCGGGTCAGACACTGGATCTCAGCAGCCAAATGTTTAACCAGTCAGAGGTTCGCCTGGTGGGGGAAGCCTCTTATTGCCATTATACCCTCTGGACATGCCTTCTCTGAATTGATGATCTATTGCATCATACAGATGATTTTACTCCAACTTAATGTTGAGAGTAAAAGTACTTGATTTGACCTTTTTGGAATGCTTTATTCTTACCTTTTTCTTTAACAGTCATTGCTTAGCTTTGATGCTGTATATTGTAAACTAGCTGGCTTAGTAATTTTCATACAATCTCTAGAGCTGATCATGACATCATGAAGACTGATACATCTGATATATATCTTGCAGCTACTAAAACAGCTAACCCAGAAGTCCAGCCTGCTCCACCAGGATTCCCCCAGGATTTAACCTTTGATTCTAACAAGAGCTTTGAGGATGATGGGACGATGCTGCTGGTCCATGCCCTCATCAAGCAGCTCTTCCAGAGGCCCTGCAGAGGCTCTGGACTTCACTCACGCACCTTTAAAGAGAGGGCTTATCTTCCAGACGGCGAGTGGCCCCAGGCTGGAGAACTGGCCAAGCGAGAGCTCCATGAAGAAGATGGGGATCCCGCAGATGGCCAGCATGATGAAGTAAGGAACCAGGAAAGCTCCTGCAAGAAGCAAGAAAAACACCCTAAAAAATAACACAGAGCAAACACCTAAAGCCACCTATGACAAGGAATAAAGTTCATTCAACATCTGTGGCCCTGAGGGACCTACACCAAAATCTGGAAGACAGCAAGGGGCAGCAGCTCACCATTAGTGCAGGAGGAAGGGGCTGGGATTCACCCGGTGCCATGCTTTCCCCTTCCACACAGACTCTTTTTTCTCCTTGAAACTTTCATAAACACCCTGAAATTCTCCAATTATTATTGCATGTGTGTGCTGGTTGTGGCTGCGATAGAGTTAATTTTCTCCATAGTAGCTGGTATGGGGCTGTGTTTTGGATTTGTGCTGAAAACAGTGTTGATAACACAGGGATGTTTTCGTTACTGCTGAGCAGTGCTGACACGGAGTCAAGGCCTTTTCTGCTTCTCACCCCCCCCCACCAGCGAGCAGGCTGGGGGTGCACAAGGAGCTGGGAGGGGACACAGCCGGGACAGCTGACCCCAACTGACCAAAGGGATATTCCACACCATATGGCGTCATGCTCAGCATATAAAGCTGGGGGAAGAAGGAGGAAGGGGGGGACATTCGCAGTGATGACGTTTGTCTTCCCAAGTCACCATTACGTGTGATGGAGCCCTGCTTTCCTGGAGATGGCTGAACACCTGCCTCCCCATGGGAAGTAGTGAATGAATTCCTTGTTTTGCTTTGCTTGCGTGCACGGCTTTTGCTTTACCCATTAAACTGTCTTTATCTCAACCCACGAATTTTCTCGCTGTTACCTTTCCAATTCTCTTCCCCCCATCCCGCTGCGGGGGGAGTGAGCGAGCAGCTGTGTGGTGCTGAGTTGCCAGCTGCTGTCACATTAAACCACAGCAATGTGACAAGCAGTTACTCTGGGAGTAGTTGAACAAGCTGGTCACTTTGGACCATCACACTGGGCTCTTGCATTGCAAAAGGCTCGCTCCCCTCCTTCGATACTTGGGAAGCATTTGCTGACCCTGCTGAGTCCCAGAGGACACCAGACCAAGAAGCTATTGGAAACCAAGGGGGATGCTCAGGTGGTACTCAGTCCAGCACGGAGCTGGGGATGTCTCCAAAGCCGTGAGTGCAGAGGTGGGCTGCTGAGTCCCTTCCACACATGGGTACAGGAGGTTAATGCCCTACAGCAAGCATGGGGGGCAGGAGGAGGCTTCACCCCACAACAACAAACGCTACTTCCCAGCCCCAAGAAGGGGAAGGGGCATCTCTTCAGAGACATGTCCCACCAGCCCAGCTCAGCGAGAGGGAGACGTGGCCACTCCAAAGGATGCCCGAGTACCTCCTCCATTGGTGTAAGCCCTGTAGGGGAACCTCCAGACATTCCCGAGTCCCACGCAGTATCCGATGCAGGAGAGGAGGAAATCCAGCCGCCCCGTCCAGTTCCCTCTGTCTTCCGGACACTCGGAGCCCAGGTCCCCGTCCTGGCTGCTGGGGCTCACCAGGAGCTCTGGCGTCACCGGCTGAGCGAGAGAGCAGGGGATGGGAGAGGGCACCCGGGGGTTGAGGAAGGAATAAAAACAGGGGATGAAGAGTGAGAGAGAGGGAAGGAGCGCCAAGAGCTCAGGTGTGAATTGGTGACCCCGAGTCACAGCATTGACACTTGTCCCTTGAGGACACCCTGTCCCGGCAGTTCTCTGTGCACCACCCCAGCCGACGTCCTGCTCTGCGAGGAAAGGGGATAAATGCGATCCCACAAGGCCAGAGCTCCCCTGGGAAAGGCAGGATGGCCCCGGTTCACCCTGGGAGGCCAGGACTCATCTTGCAACCCCAGTTTCCCAAGAAATCCTTTCAAGGGGCCATGATAAACTTTCCTGATCTCCTGCAGGGCATGGGCACAAGGACAGCAGGGCAAGAAGCATCGCCAGCATGCCAGGGAGCGTGATGCCCTCAGCCCCGGCTGTGCCGGGCACTCGGCTGCCATTAAATGCTCTGTGCATTTTTCATGTTTTTCCAGCTGCCAAAAGCCTACACTGTGGGGATTTAGTGACACGCTCCCAGTTGTCCCTGCTGAGCAAGCTTCTTCCAGCTTTCCTAATCTGCCCTGGATCAGTGAGGCACAGGCAGCTCTTCAGTAGGCAGGGGAATAACCCATTCTCTTCCTTACTGGAGCTGCCTCAGCTCTGCAAGAAGGAGGTGCGAGTCCTGCAATACATTTAGGTTGGGGTGATGCGCCAGGAAGGCTCCCTGGCATCTGTGTGTGTGCGCACATCAGGTCTGCAATGAGATGTTCGGGCTGTCTGAGCTTCCCCAACCTCCTGACCCTGGGAGAGCGGGGAGGGCATCCCTGCCGGCTCCCATCCCACCAGCAGTCACCAAAGCTGAAAGCCTCAGCCAGCAGCTGCCGGGTGAGGTCCCGTCACAGATATCCCCTCGGCAAGACTGGGCAGCAAGAAGGGGTGGGATGAGGATCCTGCCCCTGTGCCACTGTGTTGCTGTGCCCCTGCCTGAGGGTTTGTTGGCTTTGGCTGGTATTGAGGCATAGAGACAGAAGGATGCTGGGGTCCCTGCTGACAGGGCACAAGGACCAGGGCAGAAGGAGCCCATTTGGGAGCCTCCCCTTCCTCCTGGACTCTCAAAAGGAAAAAGCAGCCATCTCCATGTCCCTGAGTTCACGGATCATAGGGAATGAGCCCATGGGATGTTCAGCCAGAATGAGGTGCGGGTCCCCTGGCTACCAGTGTGCACGTGTGCTCAGAGCCCACAGCAGACCTCCATCCCCTGGGGAGATCAGAGCTGGCTGGCGAGCAGAGCCCAGCGCTGCCCTGCCGCAGCCCCGAGGAAAGTGGCAGCCACCTCCTCCTCCTCCTCATCCTCCTCCTTCTCCTCTCCGGCTGGACCGCAGGATGCTCCTGCTGCCGGTTCCCATGGAGACAAGGAGCTGTGTTGCCGATGGCGATGGCCGCATGCTCCCACCCTATGCAGGGTGCACCCTGCTCCTCCAGCCAAAGGCACCGAACGCGGAGGTGAACCCATCCCCACCTGGCGTGCAAACAGGACGAACCAGGGCAAACTCTTCCCAAAGCCAACCTGAAGCACACAACCCGAGCAATGGCGTCACACTAAAACCCACTGTTAAAAGCCCATCCCCGCTTGATGCCAACGTCACAGAAGAAAAGCTTCAGCAACACAGGCTGAAAAGCCAAAATGTGACCCAAATGTAATACTGTTGCTATAAAACCGTTGCTACCTGGCAGCCCTCCTGCAGCTGTTTAACACAGCTCTCCGGCTTAGCAACTTCTCCAAACCGTGGCCATGCCTGCTAATTAACCCAGCGCGCACAGCGGGCATGACTCGCAGCAACCTGTGTTTGCGGGTGATGGACAGACTGCTCTGCAGCATCCCTCCCAGAAGTTTCAGCTGCTAAAACCCGTATTCACAAAGGTCCCTGCCAGGTGGGGACAGGAGCTACGGGGCCATCACAGTTTGGTCTTCCCCCAAAAAAATGCTTCCCAGTCCATCACGCTGCCTGGGGAGCTCTCGTTTTCCAGGTTTGCATCACAGAAAAACAGCAAGCAGGGATGCTGGGAGATCATTAAATCCTCTCGCCTAATTCCTGCACCTCTGCCTGAATCCTAAACAGCTGCAAGAGGGCACCACTGGAGCCGCATGACCTGATGAAATGCAGGTGCCCGTCCGTCAGATGTAGCATGGAAATCAACACAGAAGCAACAAAAAGAAAAGAAAGGAACCAACTGGACTTTTTCCAAACTGTACATGGCCCGGACCCCATCTCAGTCACCCTTTTCAAAGACCACGGGATGTAGTTTGCCACCTGTGTCTCAGTGATGACTGCCCCCCTTAGTAATATCTTCAGCTGGAGCTCTGCAGTTTCAAGTTGGGACCCCAGGGCAGAAAGCAGAGACTGCTCAGGAGTCAGATAGACCCCAAGGACGGTGACATTGCGGTCCCCATCGGGCAGGTTGGGGAGGCACGGGCCGGGGATGCTGCTGGAAAACACACATGGAGGCTGCTCCATGACTGTGATGCCCCAAAATGCCCCAAATCATAGCCTTTCCATAGAAATCAGAGAAAACCTGGCCTATTTGCTTGACTTAAAATGAATTGCAAAATGCAGTATTTAAGGATTTCAGCCCATCTTTGTCCCAAATAGCAGAGAGATGCACACCTCTCTACCTAAGGCTGCTGGAAATCTCGCGCACTGGCTCGATTCCAGCCCTTTTTTTAGGATTAATGCTCCCTTTCAGCCTTTGTCATAACAGGAATTCTCTTTTTCAGCAGCAGCTGAAGTGTTCTAGTGCCACGATATTGCTCTAGTGCTTTCCACCGTCAACTGCCATCTTTCAAATTGGGCTCCTGTCTCGCGGTTATAAACAGACGAGGACTAACAGCTCCCTTGGCAACCACGTCCTCTTTGAACACGGCACCACTTTCCATTATTCACCAGAAGATGCTCCCAAAGAAGTCAGCAAAGCAAAGGTCACCGAGAAGAAAAAGCACTTTAGTCTCTGCCAAGATAAGAGCTGGATTCCATAAGGAAATTGCCCTATGCTAATCATTTCCTGTAAACCAATTTAATTAAACCAGTGCAAAAGTCAGCTGTATCCATGAAAAAACAGCCAGATTACAGTTACTTTTTCATCATATTTTTGTCTCCATTCAAACTGGCATTGTGGGGTTATTTTGTCAGTGTTTTGTGTGTGGACTGCAGCCTTCGATTGGGAGAAATGCCACCCGACGCCAGATTTCTCCCCTGCAGATCCGAGCCGTGTGCGAGCACAGAGCGTCTGTAAAGTGTGAGTCACTTCAGATTAGTTTGAATTGCTTGTTAATCTCTTCGAGAAAAAAAAAAAAACCAGCATAAAAATTAATTCAAATGTAATATCACTTAGAAAGTGAAGTAACTAAAGCATCTCTATGGCGCAGAAGAGCCCCTTGAAGGGCTGTGCTAACCCGGTTTCCCCCAGCCCGGGATCACAGCACATGCCAGGAGAGGGAGCAAGCGGTGCTGGAGCCAGCACAGGGGGTTTGGGGGCTGGAGATTGCTGAGGCTGAAGGAAACTCGTTACAGCGATGTCCAGAGCGCAGGGAGTATGCACAGCTGCAAATGCTTATGGTCTTTCATCCGAAAACCCTGGGGAAGGAGCGGGGAAGGTTTGAGGCAGTTTGTGGCAGGCAGAGGAGGGCAGCGGCTCAGGCAGGAGGATGCTGCTCGGCAGCCTGGCCGGGTACAGGGAGGGGCAGCCCAAATCCTGGCTCCCACCGCTGGCCTCCATGGGCTTTAGTCCATTTCTACCAAATAACCCCCAAAGCAAATAATCAAACAAATAAAAAACATCCACTCAGCTCTTCTGGAAATACTATTACGCAAAAGCTGACCTGAAATCCTTAGAACCTGAGAAAGATCTTCTCTGTTAAAGAGGAATTTCCATATGTCTAAAACATGTCTGGTGAGAAGGCTTAAAACTCCCGGCTCACTGATGGGAAGTGGATCATAATGAGAGGAAGAGGAGGCTGTCGGGGTCCCGGGGTGGGCGCTGCAGCCGGGGCTGTGCAAACTCCTCCATCAGCCACGGTCGGCTCCAGGCAAGCCCGATGCCAGCGTCGGACACGGTGGTCCCAAGGTGCCAGGTGGCTGCGAGCACCAGGCTCTCCGTCTGGAGCTCAGCAAGAGTATTTTTGGGTAATGAAGGACAGCAGGGCCCTGAGCAGTGCTGGGAATGGGGAAAATAACTCCGGAGACATCTGCTTTCCATTCCAGCTGATCGCTGTGGGACTAAATGAATTCCTGAATAAATGTTAAACAGGATCACCAGCAGCAGAGGAATTCAAGTATCTCAGAAAGCCTTTGGAAGGGACAAAGACAACTTTTAATGGAACTTGCAGTCACAGTCATCTGAAAAAGCAATTTGTGGAAAAGAGGAGGAGAGGGAAGAGCCAGATGACGCCTCCAAATAACAGCGGAGAAAGGTAGGCAGCCCTGAGGCTGCCAGGGCCATCAGATAGCTGCCGGCTTTCACCAGGCCACTGCTGGCTTTTTTACATCATGTCCCAATACCCTAGGAATTTCCTGGCAGGGATGAAACTCTCCTGGGTTTTTGTTCATCTGAAGGCTGGCACAGGTTGGAGTCGCCCTGCCCTGTGGTTAGGGGGCACAGTTTGGCAGAGGGCAGAGCCCAGGGGGCTCAGAGCACTGGGTTGCTGCCTGGCATGCTCTGGGAAGGGCTCACCCACCAGCAGCAGCAGTGTGTCCCCATGAGGGAGCTTGTGGCTGCCAGGCTCTGCCACCCCACACCACCATGTCCCCATGCGGGATGGGCACGAGAAGGGGCTCGGTCCCCAACACGGGGGGAGATGGGGACCCAGAGAGCCTGGTAAGAGCAAAGTAGCAGTGAAGGGGAGCCTAGGATAGTAAAGCCTGAAAGCTGGGTTTAAAAAGGGTTTCCAGCAGGATATAAAAAGTGTTTCTAGCTCTGCCAGCTGCCAAAGGGCACCAGGGGAGTTCAGGGTCCAGCACTACCCAAACCCTTTTAAATCCTATGGAGGAGGAGGCAATCCCAGCTGCAAGTGGGAAAGCCGCTGCCCAGCTCCCTGTGCTCATCCCGGCAAGGAGGGGAACCCCTCACCACCACCCCCCCCCCGAGACCGGGCAGTTCCCGGGGCTGGCGA